ATCTGTTCAGCTCTTTCATCTTGTTGATTCTTCCATTTGCTTTAGCTACTCTCTATTGAAGGGCAAGTTTCAGAGTCTCATCTGAAATCCATTTTGGTCCTTTCTTCCTTTCCCATCTTTTGTGTGTGTGTGTGTCTGTGTGTGCATGTGCGTGCATGTGCGTGCGCGCTTTGGGTGCAAATTTACAGAGCAGAATTTGTTTTACATTCAACGATTCATGTACATTTGTTTTTCACTTCCTGATTACCTTCCCCAACCCTAACCTACTCTCCTCCTCTCTCTTCCCAGTGACCCCCTCATCCCTGTGCCCTTCTTAGTCCTGCACTCCTGTCTGTCCAGCTTTTCCTTCATGTGAATGCTGCCCCTCTGATGCTCCATGGGCAATTGTTCCAAGGGGTGTATCTCTGTAGAGCAGATGGGTGCATCGCCCTGGGCTGAGTGTTCTGCATGTAAGTCTTATTACTGTTGGGCTGAAAGCGAGCCCTTAGGAGTGAGTTTTATCCCAGGCCTGAAGTGTATCCCCGGGCTATAATCTTGGGAGTCTTACCAGACTCCACCTGACCAGTAATTCTGGTCATTTTTGTGTTTTTCAATTTTGTTCCACATTTTTCTCCCACTCTATCCAGTATCTCCAGTTTTGATCCCTTCTTGAGTGGTTGGCATTGGTAGCTGGGCTCCACTAGTTCTGGTGATCTTGAGGCCCATCATATCGTAGGGTTGATTGTTTCCAAGTTCCCTTGGTTTTCTTCACTCTTCTTTAATTCAGACGAGAGGAGACCATCAGCTGCATCTTAGGTGACTGCTTGAAAGCTTTTAAGATCCCAATTGCTACTCACCAAAGTAGGTTGTAGAACTGCCTTTCCTGTCTTTTTAATGACCTTTTTTTTTTGTGTGTGGATCACGTTCTTGATGTCATCCCACAATTCCTCTGATTTTTGGTCATTGGAGTTCAATGCATCAAATCTATTCTTTAAATTGTCTCTAAATTCAGGAGGGATATAATCAAGGTCATATTTTAGCTCCTGTGGACTTTTTGTTAACCGTCTTCAGTTTCAATTTGAACTTACATATGACCATTGATGGTCTGTTCCACAATTAGCTCCTAGTTTTGTTTTGGCTGAAGATATTGAGCTTCTCCATTGCCTTTTGCCACGGATATAGTCAATGTGATTCCTATGTACTCCATCTGGCAAAGTCCACATGTATAGTTGCTGCTTGTGTTGTTGAAAAGAAGTATTTGTGATAAATAAGTCATTGGTCTTGCAAAATTCTATCATGCAATCTCCAGCGTTATTTCTATCACCAAGGCCATATTTCTCAACTTACTTGTGATTCTTCTTTGTTTCCAACTTTTGCATTCCAATCTCCAGTGATAATTAACACATCCTGTTGCCAGTTTGGTCAATTTCAGACTGCAGAAGTTGGTAAAAATCTTCAATTTCCTCCTCTTTGGCTTTGGTGGTTGGTGTGTAATGCAACACAACACAAGCACTGTCATGGAGTCGGATCCGACTCATAGTGACCCCTCCTTGGGTTTCAAAGGCAGTATCACTACGGAAGTAGATTGCCCAACCTTCCTTCCAAGAAGTGGCTGATGGGTTTGAAACGCCAGCCTTCTGATTAGCAGTCAAATGTCTTAGGCACTATGCCACCAGAGTTGGTGTGTAAATTTAAATAATTGTAGTATTAACTGGTCTTCCTCATATGCGTATGGATATTATCCTATCACTGATAGCATTGTACTTCAGGATAGATCTTGATACATTCTTTGTGATGATGAATGCCATGCCATTCTTCATCAATCTGTCATTCCCAGCATAGTAGATCATATGATCGTCTGACTCAAATGGTCAAAACCAGTCCATTTCAGCTCCCTGATGCCTAGGATATCAATATTTATGCATTCCATTTCATTTTTGACAACATCCAATTTTTCTAAATTCATACTTTGTACATTTCAATTATTAATGGATACTTACAGCTGTGTCTTCTCCTCCTGAGTCCTGCCACATTAACAAATGGGGGTCCCGAAAGCTTTACTCTATTCACATCACTAAGGTCGGCTCTACTCTGAGGAAGCTGCTCTTCTCCAGTAGTATTTTGAGTGCCTTCCGACCTGAGGGGCTCATCTTTCAGCACTATATTGGACAATGTTTCAGGGCTATTCATCAAGTTTTCCAGTCATATATCAGACAGTGTTTCACTGCTGTTCATAAGGTTTTCACTGGCCAATTCTTTGAGAAGTGGATGGCCTCTTCCTTCTTCCGAGTCTTTCTTAGTCTGGAAGCTCTGCTGAAACCTGTCCACCATGGGTAACCCTGCTGGCATTTGAAACACTAGTGGCATGGCCTCCAGCCTCACAACAACACTGCAGCCACCACAGTACAACTGACAGATAAGTTTGTCTCCCTTAGCTGTCCCAAGCTGCTCTGCTCATTTCCTGGTCTCCCGCGCCCTGCTCACTTGCCTGGCCTGCTCCCGGGGCACTCCACACATGCAAACACCCACCTTCCACTGGCCCCAGGCTGGCTTACTGCTGCCTTGCAAGCATCCGCCTTCTGCTGGTCCTGGGTCATCAGGCAGTATATCTATTTGATGTAAACGTTCACCCCATATGCCTATCTATTGTTTAGCTGGAAGCCACAAGATGAGTTCAATTTCAGACCTGAAGGGTAGCTAGGGGCCATAGTATCAGGGGTCTCACTAGGCTCTATCAGACTAACAAACCTGGTCCTTTTTTTTTCTTCTTTTTTTTAAATGATTTTGAGTTTTGTTCCACATTGTTCTCCCACTCTATCCAGGATCTCCTGCACTGATCCCTCTCTGAGTGGCTGACAGTGGTAACCAGGCACCATCTACTTCTTCCTGTCTTATAGTCAAATAGGCTGAGGATCACATGGTCTACCAGTCCCTTGGACTAATTGTTTCCATGTGTCTTTGTTTTTCTTCATTCTTCTTTGCTCTGGATGAGCAGAGGACCCATCGTTGCATCTAGATGGCCACTTGCAAGCTTTTAAGCTCCCAGTCACTACTCACCAAAGTCGGCTGTAAAACAATGTTTTTGTGTAGTATGTTATGCCAATTAAGCTTGATGTCCTCTGCAACCAAGTCATGGTATTTTAAATCACCTCATATGTATATGAAAGCTCAACAATGAGTAAGGAAGACTGTAGAAGAATTGAAGCATTTGAATTATGGTGTTGGTGAAGAATATTGCCTATATCATGAAACTGCAGAAGAATGAACAAATCTGTGCTAGAAGAATTACAGCCAGGATGCTCCTTAGAAGCAAGGAGGGCAGAGACCTTGTCTCACATACTTTGGATATGGTTCAGGAGGGACTAGTCCATGGAGAAAGACTTCATGCTTGATCAATGAAAAAGAGGAAAACCCTAAATGACATGGAGTGACACAGTGGTTGTAACAATGGGCTCAAACATAGCAACACTTATGAGGATGGCAAAGGAACTGGCGGTGTTTCATTCTGTTATGCATAGGGCTGCTAAACCTACATACATACTTACATACTTTGTGCCAGGCACCAAAAAAAAAAAAAATCCAAACCCACTGCCACTGAGTCATTTTCAATTCATAGCGACCCTATAGGATAGAGCAGAACCATAAGGTTTCCACAGCAGTAAATCTTTACAGAAGCAGACTTCCTCAACTTTCTCCCACAGAACGGCTGGTGGATTTGAACCACCGACCTTTTGGTTAACAGTTGAATTTCTTAACCATAGTTCCACACAGTGCCGGGAAAAATATAACAATGAAGTAAGGAAAATCCTTACCTTAAAGTTGCTAAAGAGCTCTGGTGGTGCAGTGCCTGAGGCACTTGACTACTAGCCAGAAGGTTGGCAGCAGTCAAACCTACCAGCTGTTCTGAGAGAAGATGGGGCAATCTACTTCTGTAAAGATTTGCTGCCTGGAAAACCCAAAGGGGGTCACTATGAGTCAGAATCAGCTGGATGGCAGTGAGTTTGTTTTTGTTTTGTAGAGTTGCTAATAGTTGCTAACAGCACTAAATCGGTGCCTTGCCAATGTAAAGTAATAAGCTTACTGTGTAGGCTTTCACAGATCCTATCTGTTAACTCTCAACCAACTAGGCTTTTAGGCATTATTCTTCTCCTCTTTCCTATAATAAGATTGCAGCCCAGAGAAGTTGCCTAAGGTAGAGCTGAAAAGACACTAAGCCAAGATTCAGCCCACTGCTTTCTAAGTTCAATGTTCTTTTTGAGAGATGAAGAAAAAAAAGAGAGAGAGAGGGAAAAAAAAAATCCCCTGCCACCGGGTTGATTCCACTTCATAGTGATCCTATAGGACAGAGTAGAACATCCCCATATGGTTTCCACAGCAGTAAATCTTTACGGAAGCAGACTGCCCCAGCTTTCTCCCACGGAGCAGCTGGTGGGTTCCAATGGCCGATCTTTTGGTTAGCAGCCAAATGAATACTTTAGCCACGGCACCACCAGAAACTCTTTTCAAACAGTAAAGAAGTAATTTCAGAGGAATGTCTGCTTTCGCTCAACTCAGTAGAATTGCTTCAGATTCTAGAACATTTTCAACACATAAAGTCTGTCGCTGCAATGCTACTAGCTTTGAGTTTGTTTTGATAGTGACGGACAGTCCCTCTGAGTCCTTGGTCGTCTTCTAAGAAAGAGTGACAGTGTTGGAACTTCATTTCCCAGAAAGCCTTGCGGCCACAGTCGACGCGAGACATGACGGGTACCTAGCCCCTCTCTCCTCTTCCCTGGGGCGGCCCGCCAGCAGCTGGCCACGCCATATCCTGACGTCAAGGCGCGTGGCATCCTGGAATGTGTAGTCCGGCCCGACCTCGGACGCCCCCTCGGATGAATGGGGGAAGCGCTGACTGGGAACTACAGCTCCGCCGCTGGCTGTGTCGGTGCCGGCCGCGGGGGAAGAGGAGGCCGCCGCGGGTCCCGCCGAGGGCAGCGCGCCAGGTGATCGGCGATGCTTGGTGCTTCAGCCGTAGGAGCAGCCCGGCTTCTTGGGGTCCCGGTCTAGGCGATCGCTTCCCTGGCGTGCTCGCTGCCCGGCCCTGGCCATGCGCCCGGCCTTCGCGGTGGGCCTGGTGTTCGCAGGCTGCTGCAGCAATGTGATCTTCCTGGAACTCTTGGTGCGGTGAGTGGTCGGTCCTCCACGGGCGGGGTGGGCAGCCTGCGACCCTGCGGAGTAGTGTTTCGTAACCCTGCGCAGCCAGTGGCGTCGCTAGAGTTGATGTCACCCAGTGCTATAATTCATGGTGTAACACCCCCCCACACACACACACACACACCCAAACCCCCATGGACTTCCTTTGGTACGAGGCCATGAAGAATCCTTCCTAATGCTTATTACCAATTTTAATCATAGAATAATATGTGATAAATATAGTTGCAAATTGCTCAAGTGTAGTATTTTTTAGGTTACTGCGGGTGAATTCTAACAAAATTGTTATATCATTCTACATTGAATTACAACATCATTAGTAACAGTGGAAGTCTTTTTTTTTCATTTTTCCTCCTTATTGGGAGCTCTGGTGGCATAGTGACTAAAGCACTGGGCTGCTAACCAGAAGGCTGGCAGTTCAAACCCACCAGCCACTCCTGGAAGGAAGATGGGGCAATCTACTTCCGTAGTAATCCCATCTCGGAAACCCAAGGAGGGGTCGCTATGAGTCGGGATCCGACTCGATCGCAGTGAGTTTGGAGTTTTGGGTCCCCCCCCCCAATTACTACTTCATTCTCAAAAAAATTATTGAGATGGGTTCACAAATACTATTTACCACAGTATTGCAGCTAAAACACAGAAAATTTGAAAGGATCAGCCGCTATAAAACACTGGCATCGAGGAAGACAACCGCGTGTTCTTATAGAGTGCAGAGAAAACCACGTGATTGGGAGGGTCGTTGTCATTGGGTAATGACAACAACTCCGAATAGCGTTCCTCCCAGAAAAAAACAAACTCATTGGACTCAGAGCGACCCCCTTTGGGTTTCCGAGATGGTAAATCTTTATGGAAGTAGGTTGCCCGGTCTGCCTTCAGCTCAAAAAGTGAATCAGCTTGGAGTTTTAGCCTTGTAGGCAGAGGCAGATTACCCAATAAGCAAAGTAAGTGTGACCTTACTTGTGCTTACCAATCTGTAATGAAGTTTTTCATATGGTGATAAACGTCAAATGTTCACTACAGATTAGTAAGTAAGCACAAGTAAGCCCCTGCTTACCTTGCTCATTGGGTAATCTGACACTGCTTATAGGTATATTGATACATGTAAACTGTGCTTATGAAAAATGTTTGTGTTGTAACTAATGACAGTGATATTTTTATAAGAAATCATAAATTTCTGCTGAAACTCTGCACAAAAATTTTATAGCCAATCATTTTGGTGTCACCCCCTCTGACAGTGTCATCTGGTGTGGTCTGCACTGTGCACTCCCTAGTGACACCCCTGGGTGCACTGCCGGCTGTCCTGCCTAGCAGCTTCTCGGCATCCCAGAGGGGAACGAACACCCAGAGCATTGCTGGCATTACCCCCTTTCATGCTGGAGGGGATTGGAGCCTTGAGAGGTTTTCAGTGACTGGCCCATGGTCAGCAGGGAGCTAGGGGTAGAACCCAGCGTTCTCCAAATTACTCTCCCTCCCTTCCCTTCCTTTCCCATGCCAGTTCTGTTCTCCGTCATTGCTGACACTACATCGTTGACTTGCACAAAGCTTTTTGACTTAGAAGGCAGTGTAATTTTTGTATGTACTGCAAACAAAATTGTATTTATATTAAACTTCTACCCTGTCACCTTTGGTTTATTGGCTTCAGAGATGGATATGAGTCCACTGCCCTAACATACATCTCAATGAGTGGTGGTTGTTGTTATGTGCCGTCGAGTCAGACCTGACTCATAGCGAGCCCTCCTTGGGTTTCCGAGGCACTATCACTACGGAAGTAGATTGCCCCATCTTCCTTCTGAGGAGTGGCTTGTGGGTTTGAACTGCCAGCCTTCTAGTTAGCAGTCAAGTGCCTTAGGCACTATGCTACCAGAGAGGATTCTTATGTAGAAGGTTGGGCCTCATGGCCCGAGATACCACTTGTGGTCTTTAGCATGCATTTTCAGGTGTAACTTTGTCAATGGAGAATGGCTATGGCACTTTCCCAAAGGGTAACTAGGTTGGCTTTCTTGAGGGAGCAGGCAGAGTGTTGAATGCAAGTGTACAGAGTTGTCTGGTTAAAAGCTGTTACAGACAGACAACAGCTGGAGTAGGAAAGAGCCAGACTGAAAGCTCAGAGTGAGGAATTAACAGCCTTGGCTTTGTCACTCCCTGGCTCGGTGATGTTTTCCAGTCACTTCTCCTGCTGTGAAATATTGTCTGGTGCCTTATTTCTGAATCCATGCAGTATCTCCATTGACGGAACAGCCCTGTGCAGAAGACAGGACGAGTATCATAACTGCTGTTTTACTGAAAGTGAAACTGACACCCAAAGAAGTTACGTGGCTTTTTAAGACTATTTTACTACTAAGTGGCAGAGCCAGCAACAGACTCCAAGAAGTCTAAACTGCTAGTCCAACTGCTTTTCAACCTCCCTATTACTTTCAGAACTTGAGCAGCCTGTAGAGTTTAGTCACCCTATTCTTCACAGGATGACTACTAGAAATGTATTTTTATCTTCATGATACCATTGATTGAATCATTCAGAAGCAACCAGCTTACTAACGATAAACTAGGTGGGGTTACTTTTTTTTTTTTTTCCCATACAGCAGTTCACATATACTTTATCTCATGTCATTGGCCACAGTTTACCACAATGCAACAGCTCCCCTCCCACTTCCTCCCCATAGTTACCTCTTCCCAGTGTCCATCCCTCCATACACTCCTGCCCCCTGAGCTGTCCCCCTGTGCATAAGCAGCCCTTCTTTCTCCCATGATTGTTCTCTCCAAGGAGTGTATCATATGCCTGTATTTTGTTTGGCTGGAAACCACAGGTGTGGGTTCAATTCCAGACCTGAAGGGCAGCTAGGGGCCATAGTCTCAGTGCTTTCACCAGGCTCTATCGGACCAGCAAACCTGGTTCCCACCTTTTTTTTATCCTCCAAATGATTTTGAGTTTTGTTCCACATTGTTTTCCCTCTCTATCAAGGATCTCCTACATAGATCCCCTTCCAAGTGGATGACAGTGGTAGCCGGGCACCATCTAGTTCTTCTGGTCTCATAGTTGTATAGGCTGCAGATCAGATGGTGTACCAGTTGCTAGGACTAATTGTTTCCATGAATTTTGGTTTTCTTCATTCTTCTTTGCTCTGGACGAGGAGAGACCCATTGTTGCATCTACATGGCAGCTTGCCAGCTTTTAAGATCCCAGACGCTACTTGCCAAAAAAGGAGGTGGACCAATGTTTTGTATAGTATGTTATGCCAATTGAGCTTGATGTCCCCTGCGACTATGGTCTCAAGCCCGCAGGTTCAACTACTCGGTCCCTCTGGGTAGCTGGCTGTGACCAAGCAGTGACCACAACCTTGCCCTTTGTCAGCTCTACTATACACCTGGGAATTCTGATCACTCACATAAACTTATAGGACCATTGTCTGCCAACCCTATATATGTTCTTGGATGCACTCCCCATTTCATAGACATTCGGTGGGGTTACTTTTTGCTGTTACAGAGCTTTAGATTTTGGTCTGCGGAGAGTTCTAATAAAGATGTGTTGTTCTTCGGAGTAGGTGGTGAGGGCTGTGAGAATGAGGAAAAAAGGCATTCAGCTGTAAGTACACGGCATCTCCAGGGAATATCACTTTGGAAACTGGTAATTAATTTATAAAGTATCAAACAGATCTAATCAGGCCAGCGGTGGAAATGCAGGTCAGAGAATCACTCGCTCACTCACTCATTGCCATCAAGTCGATTTTGACTCGTAGATCAGAGAATGTGAGAGGGAGTTCTGATAGCATAATGCCTAAGGCACCTGACTGCTAACCAGAAGGCTGGAGGTTCAAACTCACCAGCCACTCCTCAGAAGGACTGTTGGGCAGTCTACTTACGTAGTGATTACCACCTCGGAAACCCAAGGAGGGGTCACTATGAGTCGGGTCCGACTCAACCGCAAACAACATTTGTATGAGAGCGCCATTAATTTCAGTTAAATCTTGCAAAAGCCATCAGAATATGCTAGCAACCCAAGCCTCTCTTTACTAGTTGTGGGTCTTTGACTCAGTTGCTTGGTCTTCCTGAGTTTGTTCTCAAAACTGTAAAAGGGAGTGATGACTCTCCCCGGCTTCCAGGGTTTGAAAGGATTCAGTGAGATGCATGCGCGAAGCCAAAGCACAGTCATGGCCGCTTCCCCTTCTCCCTGATGACTTTTGTTCTATACGGTTACACCTCGCTTTATGAGATCGTCCAGAAAAAAGTTGTGGATGAATCGAACTTTAATGTATGCTATATGTAAAAACAAAACTGAGACACAGCTACACCAGACCAGCTGCCTTGAGTCCATTCTGACTGACGGCAGCCCCGTGTGTGCAGAGTAGCGCTGCAGTCTGGAGAGTTTGCAAGGCTGCGGCCTTTTGGAAGCAGATCTAGGCCTTTCCTCCTTGGTACCTCTGGACAGATTTGAACCACTAACCTCCTGGTTAGTAGTTGAATATTTAACCATTTGCACCACCCAGAGACCTAAATGCAGTATCTCACTGCCATCGAGTCAGTTCTGACTCATAGCGGCCCCCACTGGGTTTCTGAGGCAGTAAATCTTTATGGAAGTAGATTGCCCTGTCTTCCTTCTGCAGGGCGGCTGATGGGTTTGAACTACCAATCTTCTAGTTAGCAGTCAAATGCCTTAGACACTGTGCTACCAGAGCGCCTTTAAAAGCATTATGTTGTTGTTATGTGCCATTGAGTCGGACCCAACTCATCACGACCCCTCCTTGGATTTCCAAGGCAGTTATCACTACAGAAGTAGATTGCCCAACCTTCCTTCTGAGGAGTGGCTGGTGGGTTTGAACTGCCAGCCTTCTGGTTAGCAGTCAAGTGCCTTAGGCACTATGCTACCAGAGTATTTAGAATGCTTTGCATAATTTGTAAACAAATCATTCCTCCTTGTTAATCTGGACCTTGGCGCATAGCACTGGGCTTGGTAGACGGTGGGAAGAGGTCCGTTTGTTGATACGAATGGCACACGGGGCTGAAGAGCAGCCTTTTCCTACTTTGCTTAGACAAGTTCTAAATTCTCATGCCACAGATCGATAAAACAAGAGATAGTTGGACCAGTGGTCTTCGAGGTTCCTTCTAGATATGGTTTTCTTGGAATTTATGACTTGATCTTGGGATATTACAGGGGAACCCACATAAGGCTTTATAGAGCAGGAACCAATTTTTATATGGGCTTCTGTAGAACCAGTGCAAGCCCTAATAACTGACCAATGGAACACTCCATCTAAATGGAAATACCAAGTGACCGGCAGGGAGAGGAGAATGGTTTTAACCATTATCCCCAAGTTGGAAAACGAATGTAGGATTTCCCTCCTGATTTTCACCCAGTGATTGGCTCCTGTGGTAAAACGCGAGGCCTGGTGTACAGCGCAGACGGGCAGTGCTGAGCAAGGGCCGTGGTCCCCACCTTCAAGAGCACACAGACTCCTGGGGAACCGGAGACAGCACACGTCAGTTAACCAGCGAGGCCAGGTGTTGGGTGCCTTACATCAGGAAGACCGTGTGGAACACACTCTTTTTCCTGTCTTAGTTTTCAACCACAGGCCTGGTGTTGAATTAAGTTAGGAAGTTTCCTAAATCTAGAATAAGAAACACAGCGGGCATACGCTATCTGATCAACTCTTTCCATTCAAAATCTTTTTTATTTTTTTTAAATTAAAATTTTGAATTCTGGTCAAAGAGAATTCAGTCTCAGCAGATGAATGGATAAACAAAGTGTGGTCTGTCCATAGGATGGAATATTATTTAACCATAAAGAGAAATGCAGTTTTGATCAAGGCTACAGCATGGAGGAACCTTGAAAACGTCATGCCGAGTAAAGTCACTCAGACACAAAAGGACAAATACTCTATGAGGCCACGTAAGTGAACTTTCTGGAACAGAGAGACGCGTAGGCACCAGCGTTCAGGAGCGGTGACCGGTGGGTTGCGAGGGGAGCTGCTGCTTCACTGAGTTACTGTTTGGGGGGCTGGGTAGGGTAGCATTTGGAAATGAAGTGCGGACGGCTGCAAAATACAGTGACTGCCTCAGTGTCACTGAGCTGCACACTTCACAACTGCTCAGATGGCAAGTGCTTTGCCATGTACACTTGACAACAATAACGTGTTTTTTGAAAAGAAGAGAGGGAATTCAAAGGAAGAGAAGCAGTTTGCAGTGAATGATTATAGTTTCTGAGGACCAAAGTTCAAGAAAATGAGAGATTTAGGGGGAAACATCCAAGGTTTTACTGGGAAATATTTTTAAAAAGAATTATTCAAGCTGTATGCTTTACAAGAAGTAGGTTTGTAGGTAGCTGTATAACAGTGTGTTCCTAAAAAAGCGGTGTAAGTGGATTACACAATAATAATAATAAATCATGTGCGTACATTAGGTAGTGCCTAAGGCACTTGACTGCTAACCAGAAGGCTGGCGGTTCAAACCCACCAGCCACTCCTTGGAAGGAAGGTTGGGCAATCTACTTCCATAGAGATACTGCCTCGGGAACCCAAGGAGGGTCGCTGTGAGCCGGGTCCGACTCCGCGGCAGTGGGCTTGGCTTGAGCTAGTTTCTTAGTGCTGCTGTAACAAACACCACAAGGCTTTAAAAAACAGAAATGTATTTCCTCACAAATGAGGATGTCAGAAGTCCAAATTCAGGGTGCCGGCTCTCAGGCTCTCAGTCTGTTGGCCCTGCAGAGGTGCCTTGTCTCTGTGCTTCTTTGCTGTGGTTCCTTGGTGGTCTTCCCACGGCACCTGCCTTCCCCAAGTCGGTGCTTCTTATCTCTGTGTCTGTGCCGCTCCTTACCGTTCACAGCTGGTTAGATTTAGGACACCCTAGGGAACTCTGGTAGCATAGTGGCTAAGGCACTTGACTGCTAACCAGAAGGCTGGCAGTTCAAACCCACCAGCCACTCCTTGGAAGGAAGATGGGGCAATCTACTTCCGTACTGATATACTGCCTTGGAAACCCAAGGAGGGGTCGCTATGAGTCGGGTCCAACTCGACGGCACATAACAACAACAACACTGATACAGCCTACTTAATACAGCAAACAGGATCGGTACCAGTATATATAAAAAGAAGCTGTTGCCCCTGAGTCAGATTGGACTCAGAGACACAATAGGACAAAGGAGAACTGCCCCATAGGATTTCTAAGCCTACAGTCTTTATAGGTTAGATTATCAGGTTTTGTCTCCTGTGGACAAGCTGGTGGGTTTGAACCACCAGCCTTTCAGTTAGCAGCCAAGCAGTTAACCACTGTGCCACCAGGGCTACTTCCCTTCATGGGCAGTAGGTGCTAAAAGAGTAGAAACAGTGCTCTTAAGGATGGCAAGCAGAGCCCTACACAAGAATGACTCGTGTCTGGGATTGTCCATGTTCATACATCACACGTGTATTCAAGAATTTGGGTACGTTGGCCTTGTTATTTAATACTCCTACCACCAACACAGAAGGGAGGCTTTAGTAAATGCCAGTATCTTAATGTGTAACACATATGTTAATATTTGACAATGCAGCTGAATCCTTGTAACCACTAGCTTCAAGTAAACGTTCTTGATCAAGATGAAACGATAGACTGAAAAACCAAAAACCAGAAAGGGAGCTGTGGTGGCGAGCTGCCGAATGTTGGTAATCTGGTGGCCGGGCAGCTTCAGGAAGGCAGGGCCTCACTCTGTGCTTCTTCCAGTGACTGGGCAGACAGTTCGAGAAAAGCATAAGCATTTCAAGTAACTGATTTTCAGAGTGCCTCAAAAGAGATGTCAGCAGGAATTTTTCTAGCAAATAAATTTGTTTCTAGCAGTCACTGTAGAAGATTCTCTAACCCTTCCACAGCGTGCCAAAGAGGTTCACCTTAATTCCCCAAACACCTGTTGAGTGCCTCCTACAGGCAGTCCTCAGCTTACAAATGAATTCTGTTCCCAAGTCTGTCTTTAAGTTGAATTTGTATGAAGTTGGAATAGTTCGGTAGGGTTCGTATCTGACATCAGTTAGTCAGATCTTTGTCTTAGTACATTGTTGTTGTTGTTATGTGTCGTCAAGTCGGACCCGACTCATAGCGACCCCTCCTTGGGTTTCCGAGGCTGTATCTTTATGGAAGTAGATTGTCCAACCTTCCTTCCAAAGAGTGACTGGTGGGTTTGAACCGCCAGCCTGCTGGTTAGCAGTCTAATGCCTTAGGCACTACGCTACCAGAGCTCCCTGTCTTCGTATATAGTATACCTTTATATGCATAAAAAACATGAAATAAACACTTCCAGATACACTAAAACATCTTTAACATAATAATACATTTATTGTAAAAACAATGTTTTGACGCATGTCACAAAGTAGCATCCACTTGTTATTATGAACCATTGTATGCACCTCAGATTTTTAGTTTGACTTTACGGGGGTTGGTGCTTAGCCACATGAGGTGGGCATCTGTAATGCAGGGACTGCCTGTGTAGTTGGACTCTGTTTAGTGTGGTGGACAGTAGAAGGCTGGGGCAGTTTCCCAATCTGGTTTTCCTTATTTCCTCCCAAGGAGTCTTTGTGGACTTTTTTTCTGAATCACTGCTCCACAGATATACTGTCTATCTATTTATGTGTCAAAAAAAAACAAACCAAACTCGCTGCCAACAAGTCGATTCCAACTCATAGCGACCCCTTTTGGGTTTCCGAGTTGGTAAATCTTTACAGAAGTAGATTGCCCATTCTTTCTTCCACAGAGTGGCTGATGGGTTTGAACTCCCAACCTTCTGGCTAGCAGTCAAATGCCTTAGGCACTGTGCCACCAGAGCACCTTTATTTATGTGTAGCTGTGCTTTATACTTATAGAAGGCATAAGTTCCCTCCTCCCCACCTGCAGGGACCAATTGTTGCCCCCTTGGGGCCCTGTCTACCGCAAGGCCCCTGTCATCCACACTGGGTACATTTCTTCCTTGGACAGCAGTCCCTGATTCCGGGTTGGGAAAAGGTGTAAACATTGCAGGACCTTGACTGAAGCCCTCCTGGTTAAGGAAGGAGTTCAGTAAGAAGGCTCATTCCCCACAGCTTCCGAGAAGAGTTGTGCTGTCGTGCTGGGAAGGAGGAGGTCAGAGGGAGCTTTCTCATGGCTGGTAGACTCAGAAAAGAGCCACAGAGAAAGCTTGACATGCAGCGCTTTTCTCTATGGGTACAGTGCTGACTGTGTGTGACCCTTGGGATGTGGAAGGCTAGACAGACAGACAAGGACAAGGGGCATTGAGGTCGGTGCCCTATTATTTCAGAAGTATCAATACAACACGTCTCATCCAGGCCCTACATCTCATTTTGTGCCTTGTTTTCCTTTTCCTTTTTGCTATCCACTATTCAGGGAGCACCCAGGATGTGGGAATATCGTGACATTTGCACAGTTTTTGTTTATTGCTGTGGAAGGCTTTCTCTTTGAAGCGGATTTGGGAAGGAAGCGGCCAGCTATCCCAATAAGGTATGGCACACTGATGTCTTCTAACTTCTGTTTTTTAGAAGAAGAACTTTCCTGGTACCTGTATGAAAGGAGCATGAGCATCCTTTAAGAAAATTTGAATCAGAAATGTCAGGAGAATAATTCATTGCTGAATTAATACAGTATAAAGTTCTTGCCACAACACTTAACTCTGATGGACACAACTCTGTGTGTGTGTGTACATGTGGGTGTTGTTGTTGTTGTTGTTATTTGCCATTGAGTTGGACTCAACTCAGTGACCCCTCCTTGGGTTTCCGAGGTGGTATCACTATGGAAGTAGATAGTCCAACCTTTCTTCCAAGGAGTGGCTGGTGGGTTTGAACTGCCAGCCTTCTGGTCAGCAGGCAAGTGCCTTAGGCACTACACTACCAGAGCTCCTCATATGTAGGTATTATATTATGGGCAGGGTCTTGAGGCTGCTTTTTGCTTAGGGGTGGCTCTATTAAGGCTGGGGCCTGAGGTAGGCAGGCCCAGGGCTTGGAGGATGCTTTTCGCTTGGGTGTGGCTCTGTCCTAAGGCCAGGGCCTGAGGTAGGCAAGCCCGGAACTTGGAGGCTGCTTTTTGCTTGGCTACGGCTCTATATTAAGACTGGGGCATAAGGTAAGCAGGTGCACAGGGGTTAGGAACAACTAAGGGAGATAAACTTGCCTGTCAGTTTGTTGTCCTGTGGTGGCTTACATGTTGCTGTGAGGCTGGAGGCTATGCCACTGTGTTGTATAATGCCAACAGGGTTACCCACGGTGGAGAGATTTCCGCAGAGCTCAGACAGCTTAGACAGACTTGGAAAAAGGAAGAGGCCTTCCACTTCTCAAAGAATTGGCCAGTGCAAACCTTATGAATAGCAGTGAAACACTGTCTGATATATTACTGGAAAACTATGAGCAGCCCTGAAATGTTGTCCAACATAGTGGCAGAAGATAAGCCAATCAAGTCAGAAGGCACACAGAATTTGACTGGGAAGGAGCTGACTTCTCAGAGTGGAGACAACCTTAACCATATGGATAAAGTAAAGCTTTAGGGACCTCCACTGGCTGATGTGGCATGACTCAAAATGAGCAGAAACAGATGGAAACATCCATTGATAATTGGAACATGGAATGTACGAAGTATGAATCTAGGAAAATTGGAAGTTGTCAAGAATGAAATGGAATGCATAAAGAGCAATATCCTAGGCATCAGTGAGCTGAAATGGACTGGTTTTGGCCATTTTGAATCAGACAACCATGTGATCTACAATGCCAGTAATGACAAATTGAGGAGGAATGGTATGGCATTCATCATCACAAAGAGTGTTTCAAGATCTGTCCTGAAGTACAATGCTGTCAGTGATAGGATACTATCCATACACCTACTAGGAAGACCAGTTAATACTACTATTATCTAAATTTACACACCAACCACCAAAGCCAAAGATGAGGATATTGAAGATTTCTACCATATTCTGCAGTCTGAAATTGATCAAACATGCAATCAAGATGTGTTGATTATCACTGGTGACTGGAATGCAAAAGTTGAAAACAAAGAAGAGTCATCAGTAGTTGGAAAATATGACCTTGGAGATAGAAATAATGCTGGCGATTGCATGATAGAAGCTCTGGTAGCATAGTGCCTAGGGCATTTGACTGCTAACCAGAAGGCTGGCAGTTCAAAACCACCAGCCACTCCTCAAAAGGAAAGTTTGGCAATTTACTTCTGTAATGATACCACCTCGGAAACCCAAGGTGAGGTCTCTAAGAGTCAGATATGACTCTGTGGCAGTGGATTTTTTTTTTTTTTTTTTAAACAACTTATTCATTGCAAATACCTTTTTTCAACAACACAAACTGTGGCTGTACACATGGACTTTGCCAGATGGAGTACACAGGAATCAGACTGACTATGTTTGTGGCAAGAGGCAGTGGAGAAGTTCAGTATCTTTGGCCAAAACAAAGCCAGGAGTTGATTATGGAACAGACCATCAGCTGCTCATATGCACGTTCACATTGAAGTTGAAGACAATTAAAACAAGTCCACGGGAGCCAAAATATGACCTTGAATATATCCCTCCTGAATTTAGAGACTATTTAAAGAATATATTTGATGAATTGAACACCAGTGATGGAAAACCAGAGGAATTGTGGATGACGTCAAGAACATTATCCATGAAGAAAGCAAGAGATCATTAAAAAGACAAGAAAGGAAGAAAAGACCAAAGTGGATGTCAGAAGAGTCTCTGAAACTTGCCCTTGAGTGGAGAGTAGCTAAAGAAAATAGAAGACAGGACAAGATAAAATAGCTGAATAGAAGATTTCAAAGAGCAACTCAAGCAGACAAAGCCAATTACTATAATTAAATGTACTGTAATGAAATGGAGTTAGAGAACCAAAACGGAAGAACACGTTCGGCATTTCTCAAGCTGCAAGAACTGAGGAAAAAATTGAAGCCTCGAATTGCAATATTAAAAGATTCTATGGGCAAAATATTGAATGATGCAGGAAGCATCAAAAGAAGATGGAAGGAATACACAGAGTCACTGCACCAAAAAAAAACCTGGTCAGTCTTCATCCATTTCAGGAGGTGGCATATGTTCAAGAACCAATGGTATTGAAGTTGAAGCTGCACTCAAAGAATTGGTGAAGAACAAGGCTCCAGGAATTGACAGAATACCCATTGAGATGTTTCAACAAATGGATGCCCCACTAGAAGCACTCACTTGGTTATGCCAAGAGATTTGGAAGACAGCTACCTGGCCAACTGACTGGAAGAGATCCATACTTGTACCCATTCCAAAGAAAGTCATTCCATAGAAAGTGGAAATTATCGAACAATATCATTAATATCACACTCAAGTAAAATCTTACTGAAGATAATTCAAAAATGGTTGTAGTAGTATATTGACAGAGAGCTTCCAGAAAGCAAACTGGATTCAAAAGAGGATGTGGAACAAGGAGCATCATTGCTGATGTCAGGTGGATCTTAGCTGAAAGCAGAGAATACCAGAAAGATGTTTACTTATGTTTTATTGACTGTGCCAAAGCATTCGATTGTGTGGATCATGACAAATTATGGATAACATTGAGAAGAATGGGAATTCCAGAATACTTGATTGTACTCATGAGGAACCTGTACATAGATCAGGATGCTGTCGTTCAAACAGAACAAGGGGATACTGCATGGTTCAAAATCAAGAAGAGAGTGTGTCAAGGTTGCATCCTTTCACCACACTTATTGAACTTGTATTGTTGTTAGGTGCCGTTGAGTCATCGCTGACTCATAGTGACCCCATGCACAGCAGAATAAAACACTGCCTGGTCCCGCGCCAGGTCTGTGATCCCTGCTGTGCTTGAGCCCATCGCCGCAACCACTGTGTCAATCCATCTCATTGAGGGCCTTCCCCTCCTTTGTCGACCCTCCACTTTACCAAGCATGACATCCTTCTCCAGGGAATGGTCCCTTCTGACAACATGACCAAAGTAGGTGAGACGAAGTCTGGCCATTCTCACTCCCAAGGAACATTCTGGCTGCACTTCCTCCAGGACAGATCTGCTAGATCTTCTAGCAGTCCATGGCACTTTCAGTATTCTTTGCCAGCACCACAACTCAAAAGCATCAACTTTTCTTCGGTCTTTCTTGTATTCAACTTGTATGCTGAGCAAATAAACTGAGAATCTGGATTATGTGAAGAAGAACGTGGCATTAGGATTGGAGGAAGACTCATTAACAACTTGTGATATGCAGATGACACAACTTTGCTTGCTGAAAGTCAGGATGACTTGAAGCACTTACTTTAATGAAGATTAAAGACTGCAGTCTACAGTATGGATTACTCCTCAATATAAAGAAAACAAAAATCCTCACAACTGGTCCAATAAACAGCTTCATGGTGGATGGAGAAAAGATTGAAGTTGTCACAGATTTCATATTACTTGGTTCTACCATCAACACCAATGGAAGCAGCACTCAAGACATCAGATGATGTATTGCATGGGGCAAATCTGCTGCAAAAGACCTCTTTCAAGTGATAAGGAGCAAGGATGCCTCCTTGAAGACTAAGGTGCACCTGTCTCAAGCTATGATATTTTCAATCACCTCTTGTGCATGTGAGAGCTGGACAATGAATAAGGAAGACCAAAGAAGAGTTGATGCTTTTGAGTTTTGGTACTGGAGAAGAATGCTAAGAGTATCATACCATGGTCTGCTAAAAGTACTAACAAATCTGCCCCGGAGGAAGTGCAGCCAAAATGCTCCCTGGAAGCGAGAATGGCCAGACTTTGTCTCACCTACTTTGGTCATGTTGTCAGAAGGAACCATTCCCTGGAGAAGGATATCATGCTGGGTAAGGTGGAGGGTCAATGAAGAAGGGGAAGGCCCTCAACGAGATGGATAGACACAGTGGCTGCAATGATGGGCTAAGGTATAGCAAAGACCATGAGGCTGGCACAGAACCAGGCAGTGTTTCATTCTGCTGTGTATAGGGTTGCTATGAGTCAGAGATGACTTGACAGCACCTAAGAACAATAACAACATATTATGTTGTGTGCCATTGAGTCATTTCCGACTCATGGTGACCCTATGTGTCTAAGTAGAACTGCCCTATGGGGTTTCCTAGGCTGTAATCTTTATAGGAGTCCTAGGAACTCTGGTGGCATAGTGCCTAAGGCATTTGACTGCTAACCAGAAGGCTGGCAGTTCAAACCCACCAGGAACTCCTTGGAAGGAAGACAGGCAGTTTACTTCTGTAGTGATACTGCCTTGGAAACCCAAGGAGGGGTCGCTATGAGTCAGATCCGACCTGATGGCAGTGAGTTTGTTTTTTTGGTTTTAATCTTTATGGGAGCAGATCACCAGGTCTTTTCTCCCATAGAGTAGCTGGTGGGTTCAAACCACTAACCTTTCAGTTGGCAGTCGATTGCTTAACCAGTGCACCACCAGGGCTTCTATGGATAATACAGGGTCAGTTGGAAGCCTGGTTTCACACAGTAATTTTGTAATAGTTATACATGCTGTCCTTTGTGTTGGAGAAGCTATGAGATGTACCAAGAGTGACATCATTGCATTGCATTGTTCCTTTTCAAGGTGAAGGGGAAGCCAAGGCAAAATGGTCCATTGCAGACCTCTGGCCCTTAGTCGGCATTCACACACACTACTCATGGGCCATTCTTATAATAAACCACTTACTGAAAACTCGACACTCCTGTGTGAAAGACTTGAGATGGTGCAGTCCGTCCATTTTTGAGTGCTTGGTAGGGTGTTGTCACCTCGCTCTGGTGTAAACGTGTCATCTGCTCGGTGATCTCTCACAGCTCTTTCAAGAGCCTGCTGTCAACACCTGGCTGAATTGTGTGGTGACTATTGTCAGTTTTCGGCTGTGGTGCTAATTATTTTTCATGTTTTTGTTTTGCATAAAACTGCTAGCTCCTGCGTTTGTAACACATTATGAACGGCCTCTCCCTCCTCCTCCTGCTGCGGATCCCATTCTGCTGCCACTGGCAGAGTTCAGAGATCTAGCCACTTGCACCACAGCCTTTGTAACAGCACCCTAGCTGCCCGACCTCCCGCCTCCTCCCTCCCCAGCCTTCCACTGTAGCTTCGTACACTTCGTCAGCCCCTGTTGGCTCCCAGGCCCTTGGTAGTACCACTAGGTTCAGAATGAAGCCCAGGCTCCCTGCCCTGCCTGGGAGGTGCCCCTTGAGCTTACCCTGATAACCATACTCTCACGTGTGTCCCATCCATGATGGCTGTTTCAGTTTCTGTGTGTGAAGCTGAAATCAAGATCTTGCCCCATGCCACCCTCCCCAGCAGCAGTTTTGAGGCAGTGCTGTGTGGGCAGCAATGTGGAATAAGCTAGAATTGATTATGTGGAAAGACCTTGGTGAACTCTATCTCCAGCTGGCATCTCTTCAAGACAGGACTGAGAAAATTCAGCAAGAAACATTGTGACGTCTTTACAGATGGTCTATTAACTGTTGCTGGCAGTTTTACGTGTGTATATTACTGTGTTCTATATTCATTGTAAAGCAACTCAAGGTATCCAGACAGTGTTCATTTACAACTGGCTTGGCTGTCTATTAGGAGTCCCTGTGTGGCACTCTGGTGGCTTAGTGCCTATAGCATTTGACTGCTAACCAGAAGGCTGATGGTTCAAACCCACCAGCCACTCCTTGGAGGGAAGACTGGCAATCTACTTCCGTAGTGATACCACCTTGGAAACCCAAGGAGGGGTCGCTCTGAGTCGGAATCAACTTGACAGCATTGAGTTTGGTTTTTGGTTTTGTGTGGCACAGTGGTTAAAGTATTCGACTGCTAACCAAAGGGTCAGTGGTTCAAACCTACCAGCCGCTCTATGGGAGAAAGATGAGACAGTCTGCTTCCATAAAGATACGTTGTTGTTGTTGTTATGTGCCGTCAAGTCAGCCCCAACTCATGGCGACCCCTCCTTTTGTTTCCGACGTGGTATCACTACAGAAGTAGATTGCCCAACCTTCCTTCTGAGGAGTGGCTGGTAGGCACTATGCTACCATAAAGATATATAGCCTTGGAAACCCAATAGCCAAAAAAACAAACTCACTATGGGGCAGTTCTACTCTGTTATACCAGGTCAGTGTGAGTCGGAATTGATTTGGTGGCAGTGGGTTTGGATGCCACAGTTAAGCACTTAACTACAAGCCAAAAGGCAGGTGTTTTGACCCCACCCAGCTCAGAAGACAGGCCTGGCGACCTGCTTCCGAAAGGTCACAGCTTGAAAACCCTGGGGAGCAGCGCTGCTCTGCACACATGAGGGCGCCACTGGTTGGAAGACTCCACGGCGCCTGGCAGCGGTGGCTGCCTGTTGGGCATATGCTCTAGTATACCGAACCGCAGACAGAGTTCTCGCCAGGGACACAGATGGGGCCTCACTGCCGTCATATCCTCCAGATACACAAAGGGGGGAAAGGTTGGGAGTCGGAAGAGGATGGAAGTCCTGAACATAGAAAATGGCCAGGGTTAAAATCAAGGCAACACTGATAGGACTTTTCAGGGCCCTTCATTGCCAGTTATCACCGTCAGCCTCTGGGGACGATTCTTGAAACCTTTTGTTTCCCACATACTTTTTACCCTTTTTCCATAAAACATCTCTGGGGGACTGACAGTTCAGAAAATAAACTTACCAAAAAAAACCTCACTGCTATAAGTAGATTCTGACTCATAGCAGCCCTCTTTGGATTTCTGAGGCAGTAAATCTTTACGGAAGTAGACTGCCCAGTCTTCCTTCCACGGAGTGGCTGGTGGGTTTGAATCATCAACCTTCTGGTTAGCAGTCAGATGCCTTAGACACTAGGCCACCAGGGCTCCTGTATTCCCAGTATCTCACAGTCTGTACAAGTCAGTGGTCCACCCAGACCGTCACATAGTTTCTGCCCTGGCCTGGAACACCTGCGCCCACCCTTCATATTCCTGGCTGTTTTCATGTTCCTCTACTTTGAAGACAGCCACTTGGAAGAGCCTCTGAACGTCATCAGTCTCATTGAGAGGACATTGCTGAGGACATGGTGGTGACATTGTAAAGAGACTTCTTTCTGGACACCCACAGGAGACCCTTCTTTCTGGAAGAGTTATGCTTCCAAAGAGCTGAAAATATGTACCAGTTTAAATGATCGTGTCTCTTTTTTGGCCTTAAGCTAGGAAACTGGAAACGTTACTTATGACTTACCAAGAGCAAGGGTGAAAGAACTTGTGTCGAAATTCAACTTCAGATGTTAAGTCTCTGGTTTACTTGTTGTTCTGCATTCTTTTATTTTAAATGTTACCTTTTCTCGTTGCATGTGTTCGTTGAATCATATGAAATTGCTGAAATTCACCTTTTTGACCCAAAATATGTGGCTAGTTGATATGATTTGACATATTTATGAGCAGCGTCTTCAATGTTTTCTTAATCAAAGTGGGTGTAGAAATGGGAACTTGAATTCATTTGCTCATTCATTGGTCATTTGCATCCATCCCTTTATCTTTCTAAGTTATTGGGGTTACTGGATTTTTTTAGTTTATGTTTTTAGTTTTATTTTAAGTCACGAACTTTAGTAAAATCCTGATATTAAATGCAAATCTTTACAAGGCACGTGCTGGCCTCATTGATTCAGATGCTACTGATGCAGAATGGGGGATGATTGTCACAGTGCTGGGTTCAAAGGAATAGTGAACGTTAATTATATAAACAAGAGTGTGGAGAACTATTTGAAAGAATTAACCATTTTCAGGTATTTCAGAGGTATGTGAAAATTAAATACAAAGAATTACAAAGAATTGATACAATAAGAAAAATCATCTCTTCACTTTGAAAAACCTGTCATGTCTATCAGCTAACAGTTTTAGAGCCTAGTTTTAAATTGCTATGTATACTTTTAAAATAATAAAATAGTGTTTATTTAAACATAGTCTATAATCCAGATTTTTTCCGTGTTAGTCTGGCTTCATAAAGTACTTTTGTATGTACTTAATATCGGACTAAGGAGCTCTGGTGGCACAGTGCCTAAGGCTTTGACTGCTAACCAGAAGGTTGGTGGTTCAAACCCAGCAGCTGCTCCACAGAAGGAAGAAGATGGGGCAATCTACTTCCATAAAGATTGACCACCTCGGAAACCAACGGGGCTCACCATGAGTCGGAATCAGCTTGACGGCAGTGAGTCTGAGTTGAGTTTTCATATTGGACTTCAAGGAGCCCTGCTGGCAAAACAGTTAAGCACTGGACCGCTAACCGAAAGTTTGACAGTTCGAACCCACCACCCAGTGGCTTCATGGGAGAAGGACCTAGTGATCTGCCCTTGTCCAGCTCAGAGCCTAGAAAGCCCTGTGGGGCAGTTGTGCTTTGTCACGGGGGTCTTGACATCACCTGACAACAACAACAGCACTGGACTTCACACAATATGAGTTATAAACCAAAAACCAAACCTACCATGATTCCCACTCACAGTCACCCTACAGGACTGAGTAGACCGGCGCCGTAGGATCTCCACTGGAGCGGACTGCCTCATCTTTCTCCCCAGAGCAGCTGGTGGGTTCAAACGCCTGACTTCATGGTTAGCAGTCAGTGCTTTAACCACTGCACCGCCAAAGCTCCTTGACAGCAGTGATACATTCTTTCATACAGTGAAAATACCCCGAGTACTTTTAAAGATATTTCCTTTTCTTCTTGAGCCTCCTGCATTCATATTCTGTGTGATGGGTGTCCCCTTGTTTTGCAGGTACTATGCCGTGATGGTCACCATGTTCTTCACTGTCAGCGTCGTGAACAACTACGCCCTGAACCTCAACGTGGCGATGCCCCTGCATATGATCTTTAGATCTGTGAGTACACGTCCCCTGGGAATAGCACTGAGCAGCTAGATCGGATGCACGGCACAGGTGGAAGGTCTGGGGATGGGTCAAGTCTGGAACAGGAGAGCCGGTGTCCTGAGGGAGTGGCAGGGTGGACGGCTCTCATCCGAGAAGTAAGGGAAAAGAGGGCCGTGTGGACCTGGAGGGTTGCCTTTCTTTCTGTTATCTCCACTCTTAGGAGGGATTTGTCAAAGGAGAATGAAAATTTCCCCCAGAAAGAGATTTCACCTAAACTTCCTCATCTCTTTGATTTTTGTATTCAAACTGGCTCTTAATCTTACTTCTTACCACTTACTCTTTGATTCTTCCATGCAATTCACTTTGCTTCTAGTACCTGAATAGGTACTTTTCTTTCCCAGTTTTATTTAGGCAGAGGCTTGAGGTAATGAGATAAGGGGAGACTCTGGCTGAAGGGAGGGCTTCTCCCCAGGTGGACGAGGCTCTTGTCTGGCTCTTGCACTGTGGGGGTGGTGCGTGTGTAGCACGTCATGAGAATGGTGATTCCTGAGCGCACTGAATGTGGCTGTGGTTGCGGAAGAATGCAGATCCGGCCTGGGATGCAGGGCACTCCCGCCAGCCCAAGCTTCAGCAAGGACCAGTTACTATGCTCATTGTCAAATAGGCCTGGTGGCATAGTGGCTGAAGCACTCAACTGCCAGCCTGAAAGCTGGCGGTTCGAACCCACCAGACAGACACTCCATGGGAGAAAGTTGTAGCAATCTGCTACCATAAATACCACAGCCTTGGAAGCCCTGTGGTGCAGGTCTGCTCTGTCCTGTAGGATCGCCGTGAGTCGAGAGGGCAGTGGGTTTGTTTATTTCTTCTCATTGTCAGCTTTAAGAGGTTTTATTAGTTTACATGACAGGTCTCTGTGGTCTATACTTTTTGCTCTCTTAAGAACAACTGAACTTTATCAATTACTCATCTCAACTTCCTTCTTTCCGACTGCTCCCTCCCCCACTCCACCCCGGGTTCCTGTTCCAGTCCATCTTGAATTATGCTGTTTTCTTTCCCTCTGCACTAACTCTCTGGCCTGCCCTCTCCTTCACAGGGCTCCCTGATTGCCAACCTGATTCTAGGAATTATCATTTTGAAGAAAAGGTAGGTGGTGCACTTGTGTGTTTTGTGTGTTGGAATGCTGTCCTGACACCCAGAGCTGGCATCTGGCCTCCTCTCATTGGAGAGAAGTTGGTGCTTGGCTGTCTCCCTCTTTTCTCAGTTCTCTCTGTGACCCATCATGCTCACTTATGAGGCAGCTGACCAGGGAAGAGGCCCCGCCTGTGGCTTTGGAGATGCTTTTTCTTGGTGTAGAGCTGACTGGTTCCTGTCGTCACTAACCGCCAAAGCCAACTGATCTAGAATTGCTGTGTCCAATATGGTAGCCACCAGCTACATGCAACTGTTAACATTTACATTTAAATTACTTGAAATGAAATAGGCTATTTCATTTCTCAGCCTCAGTAGTCACATTTTAAATGCTTAGTCACCACACATGCTAGTGGCCAGCCTGTCAAAGAGCCCAAATACAGACCACAGAAGTCCTTTTGGGCAGTGCTGTCAGAGAAAGTGTTTGCCAGTATGACATAATGACCTAAATGATAATCATACGTATTAGAAAGGAAATTCCTATGTTACGGATTCAATTATGTTCCCTGGAAATACATGTTGTAAATACCATGGTTATCATCCCATTTGGGAATGGGTTGTCTTTGCTGGGTTAAGGAGGCAGGATTAGTGTAGGGTGTATCTTGAGTCAATCTCTTTGAAGATATAAAAGAGATTAAACAAGCAAATGGAGCAGAGACGGGGGAAGACAGCCACCAAGCTACACCTGGAGATTTCCAAGGAACTGGGAAGCAGAAGCTAAAGAGCCAAGGACGTTTGTCCAGAGCCGCCAGGGAGAGTGGGCCTTCCTGTAAAGCCAGCACTCTGAATTCAGACGTAGCCTCCTAAGCTGTGAGAGAGGAAATTTCTGTTGGGTAAAGCTGTTCACTTGTAGCATTTCTCTTACAACAGACTAGATAACTAAGAAGAGCCCTGGTGGCGCAGCGCCTAAGGCATTTGACTGCTAACCAGCAGGCTGGTGGTTCAAAGCCACTGGCCACTCCTTGGAAGCAAGACTGGGCAATCTACTTCAATGGAGATACCACCTTGGAAACCCAAGGAGGGGTCTCTGTGAGTCGAAACCGACTCGACAGTAGTGAGTTTTAGTTTTAGATAACTAAGACATCCTAATAAAGGCCTAAGTGGCCAAGAAGATGGGTGGAAGGTTTCAGAAAAATTGTCTATGATTCTGTCAACAGTCACTCTCTCAGGAGCAGGTGGTAAATATCAGAAGTGCCTGGGGTACTTTTTCAAAGTCTGTGCCTTCCACCTTCATTCCCAGCTTCACCCTCCCAAGGAGGAGGGCTTTCCTTCTGGGAACTTTCTCAGAGGAAGTTTACCCTATCCTTTAAGACCAAAAGTATGTGAGTTGATGCCAGCTTCCCAGTGTGTTCCATGTCTAGCCCTAGTGTTGGAACTCTAGTAGCTTAGAAAGTAGCCTGTCAGTTCAGAGTGCGAGAGACTAGATTTTTAAGTAGTCATTTTTAAGTATCACAAAAAGGACAATTGGCCCGTCCTACTAGGCTCTTTATCATGGACCTTTATCTCCTGAGGCTTATGTTTTCCCCAAAAGGTATCATCGTCCTTGATGTCTTTGAGGTTCTCCGCATTTACACGTGCATGTATGATATTCACATTTGTTGTGCTTCTTGGTCGCATTGAAATGAGTAAGTCACCACCTTGGGACACCATGTGTCTTTTCGTCTTGAATCTGTCAAAGGCTTTTTGGCTCTCTCCCATGTGTATCACCTGGACAGCAAGTTAACAATCTAATGTAGTGACTTAGTAACTTACCCTCTGATTGATTTGTCTTGAGTAGAGGCCCCTGGAGTTCACAGTGTGCTCATTATTCCAGGATCAAAGAGCAGATCTGTGTTCCTTCCACTCACAGTGCCCTTCACCACGTGTTCGGCCCCTTCGTCTTTGTCTTTCCAGTCGGAAGAGTCGCTCCGTTCATGGGCCCTCCTCACTGACGCCCATCTGGCAGCACCCGCTCCTCCAGCACTGTCCTTCGGGCCCTCTACTTCCCTTTTCTTGCTTTAGCTAGTTCTGCTGGTTTTTGATGAATGTGCTGTGCCCAGATCTGTACAAAGTATTGAGCAGCAAAGCTTGGATGGTTTCATCGTTTGCTTTATTTTAATTCTTGCCTGAGGCCCTTTGCTTCAGTCTGTGTGCAATGCCACTGTTATTACTGCCCTCTAAGTGGACGGTTGCTCCCTTTATCCAACTACACCAGCCTTTAAACACAACCTTGAAGCCTTTTCACTCTGAGACTTTAAAAAATAAGAAATCCCCTCCTGTAGAAAAGGACAGTGGACTTCTCCCCTGAGTACTGAATCCCATGACCTGTATCTGATACTCTGTGCGTCCTCTTACATGGCGTCTATCCTGAGACCCCAGGCTGGGCCCCTGAAAGGCAGGAAAAGCAGTAGATTCCAGTTAAGATCAGGCTCGGCCTCTGAGTTGGACACTTGAGAACAAAATGGGATGTCCTGGCTGGTCTGTTTCTCTTTCTATTTTTTGATGAAACACTCTTGGCGCACAAACTCTCGGGGACCGTTGTCAGCTGCATCAGGGATGTATGTTTAGGAGTAAGTCAGCATTTTGGCGTGCTCACGCAGACTGGTGGGGAGTGACCCGGGCCGTTGTATTTTAGTGACTTGTACTCTCATGCAGTATCTGATCGGAAATCTCATTGACACGTTCCTATTGGTGCTTCTTTCCCTGAGACGTTTTGTTCTTGTTTTTGCAGATACAGTATATTCAAATATACCTCCATCGCCTTGGTGTCTGTGGGGATATTTACTTGCACCTTCATGTCAGCAAAGCAAGTGGTAAGAGTCCGTTCACACGTCACTGCCACTCACTTCTTGCCGTTGGGACCCAGGCACTTAATAATCAAATACATGTAAATGCTCACATACGAGAAGGATTCAAATCTCCTGTAAGAGCCGAGTGGAGGGAAGCGGGTCGGACGCACATGCCCTCCCATCTGGGCATCTTACATGGCATGCGTGGCCTCTGTTCCTAGTGTTTCTCTTTATTTCCTAGACTTCCCGGTCCAGCGGGGGAGAGACTGATGGGTTCCAGGCATTCGCATGGTGGTTACTAGGCAAGTACAGCCATTATAATACCGCTAATCACCTCTGCAGTTCTGTTTGTTGAGCTTTCTCCCAAGGGTCATGCTTCTTGGCAAGAAGCTGTGGCTAAACAAATTATACCGTGGAAGAGAGGCCTCCAGGGATACTCCGAGGAGTTCAAGAAATGAAAAGAAAAGAAAGTGGCCACGCTCAAGGCGGTCTCTTCCCTAGCTCGGATCGGTGTTTTCCCGGTGGCAGCGGTGTAGTGGAGTTGGAAGCGCCATCCCTTCCTCTGCTCTGACCAATGAATGCACGGGGGCTTCTGCAGAAGATGAGCACATTAGAGCAGCGGGCTCTGCCAGTCGCCCGGGCACCTACTTCCACATCTTAGCTCGACGTTCTTCATAGGTTTGCTGTCCCACGTGGCAGCCTTCCCAAACCCAGTCTGGTCTCAGAATCCCCTGGGGAATTTTTTGAAATACAAGTATCTCTTTGAGGAATTAATTAGGCCACTGCTATGGAGCTCGGAGAGGTGGGACCCTTTCCAGGTGCTTTCAGTGACGGCCAAACAGGTTGAGACTTGCCGAGGGAGGAGGAAAAGGGTGAAAAGACTATGATCTTGCTCCCTGGCTGGAAACTTTCTCTTTTCAGGTTCTCCTCTTCACACACAAAGAGCTCTCTATGAGCTGCTAGAAAAATACTTCACCCAATAAGGAGAATTTACAAGGGGTATGAACATACAGTTCATTGATTGGGGGCAAATAAATGCCTGACGGTTTCATGCTCAGCCTCACCTGGAGTGTGGAGGAAAACAAAAACGCAGCACTTTCTCCCTCCGACAAAAGAGAATATAATTGTCGTTGCTACTGAGTTTGCGATAAGATGTCCATTCCCATTGGGGATAGAAATTGAAAATGGCCTTTCCAGGGAGGGAAAAAATGTGTATTTTTAAAAAATGTTCACAGCCTTTGGCTCAATAGTTGCACTTGCAAGAGTTTATCCTAAGGAGATAATCAACATTTTGCTTAAAGATCCATTCACAATGATATACACTGATTTTAATAATGAATTGTTTGGAAATAATCTAATCACCCTCGTACTGTAGATTCAATGTGGGATGTCCACATGATAGAATATCTGGCAGCCACAAAATCATACTTCTGAAAAAAACATTTTTAATGACGTAAAGGAAAAGTCCAGGGAAAAGATAATGGCAAAAGCAAGATAAAAAATGCGATCTGACCCTTTCTTCATGTGAGGAACACAAATGCGTAAATGTGTAGACAGACAGAAGGGGCTGGGTGGTCATGTGATCAATTCTGTCTTTTTAAAATGTTGTCCAGTTGGTTTATAATATTTGTATGATTTTTTTAGATAACGGTTCTTTAGGACAACCCCTGGAGGTGGGCCAGTGATGGCCTGTCACCTGCTGTTTGTTTTTCAGGAATCGGCGCGCTAACCTTTGCTCTTCTGATGTCAGCAAGGATGGGCATATTCCAGGAGACTCTGTATAAACGGTTTGGGAAACACTCCAAGGAGGCTTTGTTTTATAATGTAAGCACTGTTTTGGACCTGGGGGAGGTGAAGATGACTGAGCTGTAATGTGCCATTTCAGATGAACTGAGCCTTCCCCATGTAGTTGAAGGATCAGTTGGTTGTCAGCAAAGTGCTTTGGGACAGGGACTGAAGTACTTTAATGGCGTGCTAATGTTGCTGGGCGGAAGGGGAGGGGGAAGCGGCTCACGTGCTCAGCCGCTAACCAGTAGGTGGGAGGTTTGAGTCCGCTCTGTGGGCCTTGGAGGAAAAGCCTGACAGTCAGCTGTGAGAAGGCAGCTCTGCTCTGACACTAGGAGTCACCGTGAGTCAGTCACCAACTCGACGACAGCTGGTTGGTTAGTGCCACTCTGAGCCCCAGTTACCTACGCGAGAGGACCGTGGTCGGTCAGCAAATAAAGCATGTCTGTTAACCAGGGACCAGCCCAGGGACAAGGAACCTGCCCCTTGTCACTAGTTGAAATGGGCTTAAAATCAGTGTGGGAACCTGAGAAGGCCAAGGGAGTTCCAAAGCAGCGTGCCAGGAGAGGTCTGTGCAGGCAGGCGTTTGAGGGGTGGAGTTTGCAGAGGGTGGGGTGAGGGGAGTAAGTCCCCCAGGTGGGCTTATTCATTTGCTAGCAGGTTTAATGAGCTAATTCTGTGTGGCTCAGAGCCGCCTTCCTGACCTTTCTTCCTCCTCCCTCTGGCCTGTCGCCATAATACCCCAAGCACAGCCCCTCAAGGTCCGGGTGAGGTAGTTGTCTCCAGGCTCAGCCACCCCAGGGGTGGCTGTGTTGCCAACCTTTCATACTGAAGTTGCAAACAAGCAATTTGAGGCCGCTAATTGGAGCCAGAGTGAACGCTGGGGATTTAAAAAGCAAAGAGTATTCTCTTTGGTTCACCCCTCTCTTTCAGAGCAGGGCCTGGCACTTAGTAACTGCTCAGTAAATTAGCTGGGACTGACTGTCATGGGGGGGGGGGTCGGTAAGTGCATTAAGCTCTGTTTGCCTGCTGTTTATCCTCTGACTCCATCTTTGTCCTGAAACGTCTTTTCCCTCTAGTTCTCTAAACTCCCTGAAATCTGCCTTTGGCTTGCGTCATAGTTTTTGACTCCTGTGTTTGCTTAACATTTTTCAAAGAGAGTGAAGCACAGCAAATCTTTTGGGCAGGAGGGCCGTGTTTAAACCGCCCCATTCCCTTCTGTCGAGGGAAGAATGTTGAGGGGAGATTTTTTGCTTTGTACTTTGGGGCTCAGGAGCCCTGGATGGTGCCGATGGTTAACCGAGAGGTGGGCAGTTCGTTCCCACCCAGAGGCTCCCCGGAAGGAAGGCCTGGTGAGCCACCTTTGAGAAGTCACAGCTGTGAAAACCCCATGGAGTGCAGTTCTCTGAAACACATGGGGTCGCATGAGTCGGACTGGACTTGCCAGCGGCTGGGGGTTTGGGTCTGTCTTGCATTGAAGCCTGCCATCCAATGCCAAGTGGTCAGAACCTGGGCGCATTTCACATGATGAGTCTAACTACTTTTCTTACTTGTAAAACTCTCGAGCATTGTAAAGCTAATCTATGTATAATGGTTTGTGTTTACATTTATGCAAAATACTTCTTCCCATAGCACGCCCTTCCACTTCCTGGCTTCATCTTCTTGGCCTCTGATATTTATGACCATGCAGTTCTGTTCAATCAATCTGGTGAGTGTGGGGTTACGTGGGAGAATTAGCTGGCAGTTCCTGAGGCGAAGTGTCAGCTTTACTCTGAACCTGACCACTGCTTTTTTCTGGATCTTATCCACGTCATCTGTCCTTGAAGCTATCCCCACCCCACCCCACCCCCGTCTGCCTTTCAGGAAGGCACTGTCATTAACAAACCCTGTTACAGCACTCAATTATTTGCCATTGAAGAAAGACCAGCATACCTTCAGATTTTCTGTTTGCTTGGAATTTGTGTGTTTGCGTTTGAGTGTTGAATGTTTGAGTGTTGAATGTTTGATGTTTCCATGTGTCGAGAAGGCAAACAGAATAGAAAGAACACACGGTGGAGACGGGATCAGAGGAGCTGGGCGGCAGGCCAGCTCTCCACACCGCTTCATCTTTCTCTGTCCTGAGAGGCACCTGTGCTCAGATCTCATCGAGCTGCCTGGAGGCTAAAAAAGAAAAAAAAAAACCAAACTCCCTGCCATCGACTGGATTCTGATTCATAACGACCCCCTTTGGGTTTCTGAGGTGGTGAATCTTTACAGAAGTAGATTGCCCAGTCGGCCTTCTGTGGAGTGGCTCGTGGGTTTGAACCGCTAACCTTCTGGTTAGCAGTTGACGGCACCAGAGGCCAGAGGGGGCAAAATTGATGCTCGGCTTCTTTCCGAGTTACAGGTTAGATAGGCAGCAGGTGAGAAGAGTCATAACATCCTGAGATACGGAGATGACACAGCCTTGCTTGCTGAAAGTGAAGTGGCACGTGGCTACAAGCACGGGCTCAAGCGTAGCAAAGGTGGCGGATACCTCAGAACTGGGCAGCGGTTTGCTTTGCTCTTCACAGTGGAATCCGTTCAGCAGCACCTGCCAACAACAGGAGGCGGCCAGTGTCCACATTAATTTCAGGTGTCTGCCATATAAATTAGGTATTACTTACTAAAACCGAGCTAAACTCACCGCCGTGAAATTGATTCAGACTCCGCAACCTCCGTTGGGTTTCCTAGGCTGTAGCTTTACAGAAGCAAACCGCTCCATCGTTCTTCCTCAGAGCAGCTGATGGGTTCGAACCACCGACCTTTTGGTCAACAGCCAAAATGCCTCAACCACTGCACCACCAGAGCTCCTTAGTAGTTACTGAAGTGACTAACAAATTAGCTATGTGTTGTCACTTAACTGGAAAGCAGTTACTTATATGATTGAGTTACCTGCTGATAGTGTTCTTCACACAAGGAACAAAGAACCGTTTTTCAAATCAGGGCTTTACATTGCACATACCTAGAGAGGTGTTAAAAATATAATCAGGTATTAATTCAAAAGAACAATATCAGATGGCTCTGTGATTTAATAAACAGTTTGTAAATCGGGGAAAATGTTCCCTCCTGCAGAGAAGACAGCTCCCAGACAGTGGTGATCTGCAGAGACCTCATAACTTTTGCTAAAAGAATACCTGTTTCCATGGTGATGAAGTACTTAAGGACTCCTGAGTTAACACTGGAAGAAAGGTAGCTTCTGGAGGGAGACTTGCCCTCCACGCACCTGCAGTCCCAAGGCCTCAAGGCATTTAATCAAAGGTTAATGGTTTTGTTTTGGTCTCTCTGTTGTTGATAAAAGTCTGTCCACTTTGAGAGGGAAAAACCCGCTGGTGAATTAATTTGGAGTCAGGGATTTTTACATTCATGAATAAAGAAAAATCCTCTTGAAATGAAAGTAAAATAGCTGTTTTTAATATAAACTTGATTCCACAGTGATGAGTGTGTTTTGAATTACAGTAGGTGCTCACTAAACATCTGTTTGCCCCTTGGAAGGGAAGTGGTGACGCTGGCCTGTTGTCAGGTTGCATGCAGTGTTGCCTCTCCCATGTGGTCAGAAAAGCATTTGTGATGAAGGTATTGTGTAAGGATGACATAATAGTTTTCCGGGCTCTGAGATTGCCCCCAGAGCTAAGGGCTGTTGAATGAAAATATTACCAAGTTCCTGGAGGTTGATTTAGTTGCTAGAATGCTTTCCCTGAAAGTCACAGTGCTGGGTATTATGATGAAAAAATGTTTTAGAATCTGTCTTCACCTTCTTCAGTGTCATCCTGAGTTGTGCAATCTCTCTCTGGCTTGTCTTGAGATAAGTGGTGCAGGTGACTCTCCTATGCCCTTAGTTTTCTAAGAGAACTAAATACCCATCGGAATGTCTTCAGTGACACCAATTCTCTCCTCAGCAGATTTTCACAGTGGATCTGTGAAGTGATCAAACATAATTATATCTGTTAACTTCCTGTTCTTTTCAGTGTTTGTGAAATGCTGGGGGGACAGCAGAGTGGCAGATTCCTGGGTTGCCCACGAGTCCAGAACACACAGTGAGAACCTGTTGTCTTCAGTATGGCTTTTTACCTTTTTGCAAATAAAAATGAGTGTCCTCTTTGTAACCAGAGCTCAGCTTCGCTCAATCAGGATGTCTTAAGATGGGCTGTATGATTCAAACCCCGAAAGCAGTCTAGCAGCACAAGCAGATTGACCCTGGAGGATTTCTGTGCCCTTATTCTCTTTGATCTTGGCCATTTACGGGCCAGTATCATAACAGAGATGTAGCATAAAAACGTATGTGATGGAGAAAAAGTGACCCACCATTGCATTGCCCTCTGTATCAACTCATTTCGACTGGGTCTAGGCATTGTGTCCTTCCCAATTGTCGTCTTCGGGTAGATGAAAGTTTCTGTGTGCTTTCTCACCTTCACTCTGAGTTTCCTCCTGTGACTATATAATTGTTAGATTCCTCTTTTCATCGGGTGCCTGCACCTCACTTAGTTAGCATGCCTCTGGCTTGCATTCCTCTCACCCCATCCTGGGGCAATTGTTTTGACTTTGAAATAAACAGTTTATGTCTATAGGGCTCCACTTTACAAGGACAGAAAGTGCAGCACAGAGAAGTTCCAAATGGCATGGTCTTCCCTGACCATCGACACAAGAAGAAAGGCATTTCAAAATATGTTCAGTCCTACCAGTAATCAAAGAATTAAAAATGAAACAAAGATTGTACCATTTTATATCTATTAAAAAAACAAACACACACTCCATGTGTGGATCCATGCTAAGTCTTCCTTTATTATAAAAGGTGCTACGATGAATGCAGGAGCTCTGGTGGCATAGCGCCTAAGGCATGTGACTGCTAACCAGAAGGCTGGTGGTTCAAACCCAAGGAGCATTGCTATGAGTTGGGTTCAGCTTGACAGCATTGAGTTTGGTTTTTGGTTTACCAAGAATGCCATGTTTTTCTTCTTTTGAATTCCCTAGGATGAGTTCCTAAGAATGGGTATGAGCATGTCTATGGCCCTTACTAGCTATAGAGAAACTGATTTGTACAAGAAAGACACCAGTTTCCACTGCCACACACTGAATGACCATCAGCTCCACATCTACCCTGTCAGAATTAGCACAGTACTTAGACATTTTTAATTGTGTGCTAACCAGAAGGCTGGCAGTTCAAACCCACCAGCCACTCCTTGGAAGGAAGTTTGGGCAATCTACTTCCATAGTGATATCTCCTCAGAAACCCAAGGAGGGATAGCAGTGAGTTATAAAAAGGAGTTCTGGTGGTGCAGTGCCTAAGGCATCTGACTGCTAACCAGAAGGTTGGTGGTTCAAACCCACCAGCCCCTCCTCAGAATAAAGATGAAGCAGTCTACTTCTGTAAAGATTTATTGCCTCGGAAACCCAGCGAGGGTCAATGTGAGCTAGAATCAACTCAGTGAGAGTGTGTGTTTGTTTTTTTAATAGATATAAAATGGTACAATCTTTGTTTCATTTTTAATTCTTTGATTACTGGTAGGACTGAACATATTTTGAAACGCCTTTCTTCTTGTGTCGATGGTCAGGGAAGACCATGCCATTTGGAACTTCTCTGTGCTGCGCTTTCTGTCCTTGTAAAGTGGAGCCCTATAGACATAAACTGTTTATTTCAAAGTCAAAACAAATCGTCATTTGTCCTAAGAAACCAGCGGATGACTTCTGAGGCTGTTGTGCCCTGGAACCAAGGCAAGCAAAGCTGCGTATGGTCCAGGTCCATGTGGGACGTTCTGTAAGGAGATACAGTTGCCCCCCACGTGTGTCCAGTGCATCTGTTTTATCTTGTACACAAAGGTGAAAAGTAATATGACTGCCCTCTCTTCTGCCCTCTGCAGAGTTGTACCAGGTTCCAGTCATCGGTGTGACAGTGCCCATCATGTGGTTCTACCTCATCATGAATGTCATCACTCAGTATCCTTTGGACCCTCTGCCATATTGTCTCCTTGTGTTGTTTTGACAGAGGAAGTGTTTATGCTTGTAACTGTGCAGTGTCATGAGATTTGGTTCTGCCCTGATTTATTCTGCAGTTATAGGTGCCAGAGAGACCTATTCAGTGAGCTCCTCTATTGGGGGCTAAAGAAATGCGAACAGAGGGAGTGAGTGAGTCCACATGAGGGAACCCTGGGTGGGAAATTAGAAGTCCTGTGAAGAATTAAGAAGTGGAGACACGGGACAGAGCAGAACTGCCTTGTGGGGTCTCTAAGGCTGTAGTCTTCACGGAAGCAAAGCCCAAACCACACCCACTGTTGTGGAGTTGATTCTGACTCACTGTGGCCCTAGAGGACAGAGTGGAACTGCCCCACAGGGTCTCCAAGGCTGTCAATCTTCACGGGAGCAAAGCCCAAACCACACCCACTGTTGTGGAGTTGATTCTGACTCACAGCG